TTGTTCCCAAATTGGAAAGAGTTGCAAGGAGTAAAAGCGAGAGGGAGGGGATCGTGTAAGCAGGTTCCTTCACTGCTCCTCTGAGTAGAAGAGTCTTTGAGGAACTTCCTGGTCTGTTTATAAGAGCCAACAAGCATCCAGGTGTTTATTTCTCGCAACTCGGGCACAGGGTAGATCTTTCCCGCTTCCGAGTTGAGTTTTTCAGACCTCCGAAGGGGTTCTTTCTCCTTGCTCTCCTCTTTCCCGCTTCAAATACAGAGATATATGATGGTGTGCGGTCGCGAACGTATCAATTAAGGAGATGTGTGTGGACACTACGGCTGTTGTAACGTCGTAAAATATCTCCCTGTCGGCCTTTGCAGGCCGCTGGTTGCGTGCCGGGAATCGTCGATGAGAGTTTTCTTTGCCTTCTTCTCCCAGTCAGGTGCACAGCTCGTATTCCCCGGTCTCCGTATGAACCGTGTATGTCTGTGTGTCACCAAAAATGATCTTGTTCCGAGGAGAATGTTGTGCGTGGTTTCGAGGACGTGGTTGCTTGTTGGTGGAACCATAATTTAATTTCATTAGTTTTTATATTTCTTCATCCAGGAAATTCGTGTTGATCGAATGTATTCCCTGAAGAACAGTGCTTCTCTCCTTAAGGGAGGTTCTTCGTTGCATTAGCGTGAGTGTCTTCTGTTAGCCTTCCGATGAGATAAGTTCTCAGATTCCTAGGTTTTCCTCTGTCTGTAAGCGTAGGCGTGGGAAAGCGAGTTGCGAGTGCGCATATCCCCCGCGTAGTGAGTCAGTGTTGTTCCTTGTCGGGAGGTAAGAGGCTTAGTTGGCCGAGTGCGTGGATGCAGGAGAAGATGTCATCAGTGGTGGGAACGATGCTGAGGGACTTCCGTCGTAAGTCCCTTCAGCTGGAGAAGCAGCGAGGTGGGAACGGTGCAGGGGATGGGGATGGTGGTGGTGCTGCAGGGGGTGTGGGGATGTTCACGCGGAGAGGGAGCCTCGTGGGGCCATCGAAATCTTCGTCGGCCTCTTCCTCGTCGTTGGAACGGAAGGGGAGTTGGCGGATCCGGACCGGGAGCCCCAAGCCGGAACGGCGAGGGAGCCTTGGGCCTGCCGATCTTCGACGGGGTAGCATCGTTCAGAGGTACTCACTGCTGAGCCTTTCTCTCTTTGCATCAACCGAAGTCGGATCGTGCCGACCGAGTTTTTTTTTTTTCTCTTTCATTTTCCACGTAAAGTCCATTATGGTGGGAAGAGAGCGTATGGACCAGAAAAGACCCATTGCGGTTTGTGCGGGGGGCGGGCCTATATAGGCTTACGCAAGAATTTCCCTTTCATGGTTCCTTCCTCCCCTTTCTTTTCTTTCCTCGAATCAAAATTAATACCGCCTAGGTCTGTACGTTAGTGGAGACAATAGGCGGTGTCTTGAGACGACACGACCGGACGGAAATGGCTTGTTAAGTCTCGTTACTTGTTCCTGCCACACCTCCATACTTGGGAATCTCCTCATATCAAGTTTACGATTGCGACACCGGTTCGAGATTTATGGACTGGAAGCCCTTTGGCATGGAGGGACTCAAAGAAAGATGATGCTCGCCCACGCGATTCTCCTCGCCTAATCCCCCCTCCGTCTTTTCAAAGGGAACTCCATTATGGGACTTGGAGGTGATGATGATGATGAAACCGGCTGCTTTCTCGCTTGATACTTGTGTCGGCCAGTCACGAGTCCGAATGGAAAGCTTTGTAAACACCTGGTGTTCCAGTCTGGTCCCATTCCTCCCTCGCAAGGTCGTCTTTGAAATCGGTGGAAGATAGACTGGAATCTTCTCCTCCCCCAGTTTTTCTGCATGAGAGTCATGTTTAACGAGGACAATGGCCACGGGGGGCATTCCGAATAGACCCGCATAATGTAGATCCCCTAGAGATGTTTCCCCAGACTGGTCTGATGTTGTAATTTCAGATTGTGGAGTCCTTCCCCGATATATTCCCCCTTGATGATACGTTTCGAATGACTGTGAATTCCATTTATCACGAACGTGAACTCCATTCCAGATGTGTAATCGTCTTCTTTTGAATTTTCCTCCGAGTGATTTCCTCCATGACGAACCCGTAATGGCTTCATCGGAAAGGCATTGTTCTTCGATTCTTTCAGGGCTGTTTCAAAGGGAAACCCATTTTTCCTTGTGAGGAGAGGGAACTCAAACATGAAATCTCCGAGGTCATTCGTGTTTCACACCCCCGTTGAGAAATGGCAGTGGGACTGAGGTCGGAAAGCCAGGCATATCTAGGGAAGAGAAATGACGGCCTCGTCGTGCTTGTCTTCGTGACTTTACGGCTCACTTCAGACGACGACTCATATGAGATGAGAGAAGGATTTTGGATTGGATCTTCGTTCCGTGAATAATTCTCTTTTCCGTGAACGATTTTTTCCCCGTTCCGGGAATGAGTGCATCCCAGTGGAGCGATTCCGAGAAGACTCGCCTTTGATCATTGGGTTAGGGGAAATGACAGTGTTTGAAGACTTGCCCGGATAATTTCCCAAAGGGGGTGGGTTATATATACTCACTAGTAAGTTTATGCCTACCTAATAAATAAAGAAGGAACGGAGTGTATTGGCAAAAATAGGCCCCGTTTTCTCTCTGTTTTTTTCATATGCAGAATTTTTATTATTATGAATGAACTTTAACTTTATATTTGTCTCAGTTTGGCTGGTCTTCAGAATTATTCTTTTGAGTGTGATGCAATGAAGGTCAGCAGGTGCCAGGTGTGAGAATTTATTTTCTGCAGTGCCTTGGAAGTTGGAACATTGCCGGGGACAAGAGAATTTCCATGGGGATCGTATAAGCTATTTTGAATTTTCATGAAGGCCGTTTCGTTCCTCTCATCATTGACCCACTATCTTTTTGCTGTGCTCTCTGTGGTCGGTTCTTGTGCAAGAAAAAGTAGACGATGAGTCTTCCTTCTTTTTCTTCGGCATAAAAGCCTCGCAAACGACTTTCTGCTGTCGAAACGGGATATGAAAACAGGTTCCTTTCATTAATTTTAAAATTTTCATTCCCTTCTCACAGTCTGTCTTTAATTGGAGCTGTGGTCAAAGGAAAGACAAGGGTTGACAAGGCAGATCATGGAAGATTTATGTTAAGGGATCGGAGGAAGGAAAATGCATATTGTGCTCTCAATCTCGGACGGAGTTGAGAAATCCCGGTCGATTGTCACAACATTGGCTAATTCACTTGCGCTCTTTATAACAGGAAGTAGTTTTTTATGTCCTGGACTTGAAATGCTTTGGGAAAAAAAGAATTAAAAGAGTGCTGTCAGATGGACCTGAATTGAATTCGTGGGACCCTGTCGCCCTTTGGATAATACATCATCATCTCCCAACAGGAGGCAAGAGGAGTTTTCTTTTGGAAATATAGACATGAGGACATGTTCACATGTCCTTTCACAACCGCAGCTCAGTCTTATGAACCACCCTCCATCACTTCTTCGTTCGTTTCTTTTTTTTTTTGTGCCCCACTTCTCGTCAAACACCTCATGTATTTGAGCCTTGACTCAGTGAGCCGTGGAATTAATGTTTTTGTAGGATGGAATTGCGTTGAAAGGCTCGTGCGAAGATCTTTGCTGGCAAGTCCCATGTGGAACACAGGTGCGAACGCGAGACCTAGACCTCGATGGGCTCTATAATGCGACTCATGCCAAAGAGAGTTTATTTTTCCTCCACCCGAGTGCCAAGGAGCTATTCTTATATTTATATATAGCCCCAAGGCGGCAAGCAATCTCTCTCCTTCCATTCCTATCTCGTGACGTCCGCTCAATTAATGGCTTTGGCTAAATGCAGGAGTGTCTGGAGTTCCGACAGAGATATTGATGAGGCTCGATGGCGTCGATGTACCTGAAGTTTCCTTTTTTTCCCCCCCTTTTTCATTTCTTTTTACTCAACCAACCTTTTTCATGATGACTTGGCATACTCCTTGAGATGACTGGAGTGCACGTGTGGTATCTCATACGTACTCCATGGTTTTTTTTTCTCTTCCTTTTCTTTTTCTTTCCTCCCTAATCGCTGTTCTCATTCCAAGTCAGAATCCTGTGCTGATGCCAGGGTCTCTCTCCTTTTCCCTCTCAGAAAAGTTCAGTTGGCATCTTTGTGCATGCATACTCATATGCATGGACTGAAGCAAGCCGTGCTCGGTCCCGTCAAGATGGCTTTTGCCGGGATTCACAGTCAGGCCCACAGGTATGACTAATTCCCGTGTGTGCGTGCCGGGGCGTATTGTGCCTGTAATTTATTCCTCCCCGTGTTAATCATGTCTTTTGTGAAGCGTGTCCCAAGGGATTGGATCCGGGGTTTGTTTCCAGCCCAGCGGGGGTTTTTCTCTTTCTTTCACAATCCTATACACCTCGCGTGGGGCCACCTCCCGGACAGAGAACCATTTTTGCACTAACTTCCTGAGTCACGTGTCGTGCAAATGAGGCTCTGATTGTGCGTGTAATTTCCTTGAGATAAGTCTGGATGGATTCACGCCTACTCCGAGTGCTTTTGCTCGCCCTCGAGAGCAAGAAAGCAGCGGTAATACTCCTCTCTGCTGATTGCACCTGCCACGTCATTTTTCTTGCACTTCTGCGTATCTGCGCCCTGAGTTTGGTTTTCTTTTCCCCCGGCCTGGGAAATACTCGTTCGGGATATGCAGCTGTGATGCAAAGCATCTTGAGTGCGGAAGAAACTACGTATGAAAGCCTCTTCGCATATTCTAAAGCATATTCGCCACATGATACAAAATATATGCAATATTAATATTTAAAAAAGAAGGCAATTTATTGAAAGAAGGTAAAGTATAACTGATGAAGAGCATCAATTCGCCACATGTCTGTGGCCGATTCACCACATGTGGCGAGTGGCGAACGTATTGGACACCATGGAAATAAAGGGATTTAAGATCCCATACTAAATGGAGTATTGATTTGCGAGTGGCGGATTGTGGCTTTTCACTTTGTTTTCATGTCACACGATGATGTCGGCTGCATATCCTCTGTAGGATTCTCGGACGCCTGTGAGAGTAATGGATGTTTTTTGTGACTATTTTTTGCATATGCTTGGTTTTTTTTTCTGGTTTCAGATGGTTTCGTCACATCACGGAGGCAACGGAAGCGTACAAAGCCCGGGAAGGGAAGCATAAGAATCCGGAATCCTCCGTTTTTCCCGACAGTGATTCCTCTGTACCTGATTCCTCCTCTACTAGTAGCAAGCTTCCAAAGTGAGTCTCGTGATATGACCCTCAGGTCATACTTAACAATCGGCGGGGGGGAGGGATTATTGATGCTCTCCATCTAGGGAGATGAATGTTATCGGCTTTGAAATCGGAAAACGGTGTGATAACAATGGAGAAGGGGATGATGTGATTAACAGTTTGGTAACGCTGTAGGAGAGAAATGAAGTGATTGATATCGTGTGATGGTAGTGATGAGGGGTTGGAGGGTGAGACCTCGTCGTCCTCTGTGGAGACGGAGAGCGGGAACGCCACGCTATCCCCAGCCACACCCGGGGCACCGCTGGATGCGCGTGCCATCGCCTGCCCCTCCCCAACTCCGACTGAGAAGGGGATCCAGCAGAAGGCAGGTCTGTGTCTCCCGCTCGCACCTCTCCCTCTGCTTTCATGCAAATCTACTTACAGTACATGCATGTACTCTTCATTTCTCTGGGACGTGGAAATGGTGATTAGTGAACCGATGCATCTTTCAGAAATATTGAGTTTTATTTAAATTTTTAAACAGTGCTGACTACTTGAGCAAGATGGCAATCTACACTTTGATGCAAGTAAATGTACGCATTTATTAGTTAATGATTCTCATCTATTTTGAACAGTTTTTGTCGCAGGTTGAAAGTGAATAGTGGAACATATAGGGTGATTAAAAAAAAGCTATACTGCATCCTATGGGAGAAAGACAGCTTGGGAGCAAAACTTATAACCATGATAAGCGATCGACATTGGATGATGACAAGGTGTTGAAATGTGTCTCGTTTTTTTCAATACCTTTGTGCGATCCGTACAAAGTCAAGTTACACGTTTACATTTGGATCATTCCAACTCAAGCGTGGAAATTGTGTCTGACTGACCATCTCAGAATTCAGTGAAAATTGACTGGCAGTCGTATGATTGTGCGAGTTGCGCATATTTCAAATCGAAGATATCCACGGCAAACAAGTACGGATTTGGGGTTTAAATTTGGCCCTGGGGCGAAATATGGCCCCTCGCTCCCAGATTCTATTTGTCTGTCTATTTACCCTATAAAGTTGGTTGATAGCTAAAAAATTAAAGCTAGAAGAGAGGGGAATGAAAGAAAAGGAAAATTTCAAGTTGTAGGGTATTTTTAAAAGATGACAAACACAACGTTAATAATAATAAGAAGCCTTGCCTTTTCTCACACGCGAGAAATTCGAAAAAAGAGTAGTGAGGGTTAAAAAGAATCACCCTGTGTTGGTAATATTTTAATTTAACACTCCTACAAATTATTAACTAGCATTTTTCCTTCCTACAGATGGCTTATCTAATTTTTTCTTGCCCGCTTGCACGAAGCTGTCTTTCTCCCATAGAAAAATGGTAGGCCTTTTTTTTTTCGATCACCCTATCGTCAATCCCAGCTAATGCCAGTTTATTATTGGTTTAGTAAAATGGTAACAGTAGACAGAGATTGCCAATAATTACTTGCACTCCAGTAAATTTTTCATTTTGTTGTAACTAGTTACGCATCACATTATGCTTCACTTTAATTTAAATTTTAATTGTTCATATGTAGTAAACTGTGGCTCACAGTGTAAACTGGGGAGCCCCACAACACTCCATCTCATCTTATCATGGGCTTGGATGTGGTTCTGGGTGCCTCTAACATGGGTAGCATGCATACAGCCATTCACTACTCGGCTTCACAATCCATGCACTTTCTGACGCATGAAATCAAAGCTGCACGTTTTCTCTCTTGCGGGTGATCATGTGAGCAGGTGTGGGGAGTCCGTCGACGGTGCGGCGATTCCAGAGAGTCGAGATCCTCAAGATTGCCGAAGGGTCTCAATTGATTTCACCCAGTGAAGTGGTGGTTTCGCATGGCCCGGCCACTATCCTCACTGCCGAACCTGTCCTCACTCCTATAGGTACTCCCTCCACTACCTGCAATCGCATACGCGCACACACACAAACACACATTTCTTCGTCTGTCTGTCTGTTCTCTATTTGCATGACCGAGATCCACAGTATCACTGAGCTTGGGAATTGACTCTAACACGGTTTTTGGTCGCACCTTGTGCTTGTATTTTGTTTTTTGAAGTTTTTTTTTCCCGGTTTCGGTTAATATCGTAACATATCAGTCTGGACCTAGGAATATAAAGGTTTGTAGAGAGTTTGGGATAATGGCACATCCCTCGGTTTATCTGTACCTCCAGAGCGGCTGAGGCGGAAAGATGCCGAGATCCAAGCCGCCCTGAAGGAGAAGCAGGCCTTAGTGGCTGATATCCTTCAGGTCCCAGCTTCAGACTATGAGCACATAGTTGACATGGCCCTTCATGCTCCCGGAGACAAGGATGCGCGGGAGCTAATCCTCTCCTCCATCGAACAAGGTGAGGGAACGAGAGAGATCCTTCTCTCAGATTCAGAAGCTGAGGACATCATGGAATGATGACAACGATAACGTTGGGATTGCAGCCAAGCTCCTTGAGGGCCTGCTGAACGAGAGCCTGAGGATATCAGACGAGGTGCTGATAGCGGCCACATCGTCGGAGGCGTCTACCGCAGTGGCCCCAAGTCCCGGTGGAAGTGGGAGTCGCAAGGCCAATCGCCTCCCATCCATCCCCACACATCGCATCCTCAGCATCTCTGCCACCATCAGCTCCCAACTCACTCAGCTCCTCGTAAGGGATTCTGGAGTTTTTCCATTTGGTTTACCTATATGAGGAAGAGACAAGTCTTGGTCTCGCTCTGAATTGTCTTTGATTGAGTTGTACTAAACAAAAAACTTTTCATCGTAAACTTACGTCCATGCTCTGCTATGTATATGTACTTGCTATCCTTGTGCGATTACCCTTGTGCAAAAGCCTACCCTTCGGCAATATCGTAGAAAGAAGACGAAATGCTCTTTTGGATGGCGCCTCATGAACGTTTTTGATTGTATGCAGCACGTCGTAGCTGAGCGAGAGGAGGAGCGTGAGCGGTTACGAAAGGAGGTGAAGAATTCCCGTGAGCAACTTCATCTTCTCCTCGAACAGAAGCTTCCTTCTTCCTCGCCACAGGTCCTCCCGGCCTCCTCTTCCCCCGCCGAGACACAGAACGACTCTCCAGGTATGGTCATCCTTCATTGCTTGGCATGCATGTGTGCTCTTCACGTGCCACCGTCAGGGTGACATCTTATGATTGACAGATGCGAGTCCATTGAGGGGGGCCAAGGCCGAAGGAGACGAAGATGAAGAGGAGACAGAAGAAGGGGATCCTGCCAGCTGCACTTCCTCCAAAGACAGGCAATCCTCTGAAGATTCCAGTGAAGTGAGGCCTCATTCTTCAGACAATCTTGATTTTTAAAAGGAAATGCATTCGAAGTGAAACGTGGCGTTTGTTTCGTTTAGCAGGCATACATGGATGCATCCAGTTCCTCGTCACATTCTCAGTCGCAGCCAGTCGAGAACTTGAGTGAGAAGGCCGAGAAGACTTGATTTCCTAGTACTTTTTTGGCTCCTGTCCTCATAAATACATACAGTCCTGTGACTCAACCAGTGATCGCCTGTGGCAGCGCAATGTGTGCGAACCATGCTTGGTTTCCTTAATCGTTTCTGTCTGTCTCACACAAAAGTCAAAGGAAGGGGAGCCCACGACAACTTGGACCTGTGTGCCGTCCAGCAACACCAAAGACGTTTGTTTGACTCCTTTGTCCCTCCCCACCTTTCTCATGTGACCTCGCCTCCCTGCGCTCATCTCTCTCTGGTCACGAATCAAGATTCCACTGCGGGTTCATCATGAAAAAAAAAATCCAATCAAAATGAATATCCAAGTCGCTGATTTCCCCATGTCTTGTGAGATGATGTCCTAAAGTTTTTTCTTTGGGGTTCCCTTGTGATTTTTATCTTTCCTTTTTTTGACTTGATTTTTTGAGGAAAAGTGATACATTATCTTGATAATGGAGATATACTCTGTTGTCCTGTGCAGATGTCCCTGTTCTCTCTCATGAAACAAAATTGCCAATTCTTAACATATCAGATGCGAAACCTCTTCCCAGGCCTGGACCTGTGTCCTAATTCCAGCAGAATGTTCAGTATTGCTGCAGCAATCCCTCCCCCTAAGTCCTCAACATGTTCCTATGCCTCATATAGAATTTTTTTTCAATGTAAGAGACAGTTTAATGGTGTCTAGTCCCAAATCTGTGTTGTCCTGCAAGACATTGGTGATTGCTGAAGCATTTTCCTCTCCCTCTATTCCTTTTCCTTCCACTACATTATACTTCCAAGTCCTTCATCTCTACCTTGCAACTGATACACTTTTGAGCTTCCCTCAAAACGATCGGAAGCTGGCTTCCGAGATCTACTTTATTTTCCTTCTGTTCAGACATCACAGGTACCCTGGCAGCTAAATAATATTTCTGTGGCTTCTTTTCTCATTTTCTTCATCACAGTGGTGTTATTTATTTTCGGAGAAGGAAAAAAATTCCCAGAAGAGCTTATTGTTTTTTCCCATTAAAAATTTCCCCCCCCCCCCCCCCCCCCCCCCCCAATCTGGGCACTGCGCATGCGCACTGAGGTGGAGGTCGAGGGAGGGTGGCTGGCCCCGAGTGGCTTTCACAGCTCTGGGCGAAATTCAGGAATGCAAAATCTGCGATTTGCATTCCTGTTTTCGGCGCGAAATTCGCCTGAAACGAGTTTAACCTGCACCTGGTTCACATCAATTTCTCGCCTCAATGATGGAACTGACTAAGTTATTCCTTTGATTCCGTCCAATCGTGGTCGGAGACATTTCGTCGATTCAAGTATCAGCCTTCTTCCTTCCTCCCTTTCCCACCTTCCCCCTCTCTCTCCCTCCCACCTTCCCCCTCCCTCTCCCTCCCCCTGATCCTATGTACAGTTAAAATTGCGCGCAAATAGGTAGACCTGAACGGACATGATGAATGTTGCAGAAATTGAATGTTCCACTCCGGATGATGCAGCCAGGCGTATCTGTGCCTGCGCCCTCGAACGAAGCGGGGGCAGGGGGGCACGGGGACGGGGGGGGCACGGAGACGGGGGGGCACGGAGGCGGGGTGCAAATGTCCTTTCCTGTGTGCTTAGGTAAAGGGTACCCGCGGATTTTCCGCGAGTTTCCTTCCTTCCCGCTCGCCGATGCGGACAATCTGCCAAAATAATAAATACGCCGCACGAATTAATAAATAGAATTGAGGGAATTGAAAGGTACTCCGTCATAATTTATGAGTGAAAAAGCTGTATCCAGTTTTATAATCTGATGCATGCATCAGACTGATGCTCCGACCTGATGCAAGCAATTTCCGCCGAATTCGATGAACCGCCCGAACGTGTTTGCAAAATTGAGTTCTGAGGGCTTCGTCCTGACAATGACCGAAAATTGGTCAATTGGCCAGAAACGCCCTCGCCAATGCCCTCGAATCCCAAGTCGGCTTCACCGCATGCTCTTCGAAGTTCGTGCGCTAAATTCAATCAAAATCGCTCGACTCGATCTTTTCCCGAAGAGAAATGCATCGAATGGATTGGAACTAGAGTTAGTTAGAAAAAAGCAGCCACATTTGTGCATCAAGCTGGAGGGATGGCAATGCATCTGGAAGCGTTCCGATACCGATCTGATGCACTGATACCAGTGGCTTTTTTGCGTTTAAATGCTACATCGGCTACATTGCTGAGAAAAATTCAATAAAACTTGCTTCCAAATAATAATTTGAATACCCTCTAATTCCCCTATTTGTATCCATGTCTGTCCACGTGGCGATAAGACCCCACCTCGCCCCACCTCGCCCCACCTCGCCCCACCTCGCTCCACTTCGATCACTTGATCATAGCAGCCACCGTGAATATAATATGCACGACCAACGGACCGTGGACCCTTATAGGTCCGTCCTTTTCGCCGACCGAGTCACGGTCCAGCCCACGGCTTGATTTCCACGTCCGCGCGCAGCGAGCCGAAAAATCCTCCAAGGATCGCTAGAGACTTCCCGCCCTTGGGAGGAATCGGGCGGGAATCCCCGGGAAACTCCGTTAACCGGAGGCATGCACAATGCGGTCTAGAATGAGAGTAGAGACGTTCTCGTGGAGGCTTTCTGATGCCCGCGGTCCAGCACGGTCAACGGTCCAGGAGATTCTCCGCGGAGGACTCTTATTCAGCCGTCCGAGGCGCAGACATCCCGTCACGCGAATCCCTGTCAGTCTTTCGTGTCCTGGGCCCGTATTCTATTATATTCTTAAGGGCAATTTTCCTCTTAGCAAGATGTTTAGCTGGAATTCATCCCACTCAGATGCATGGCCGTGGTTCTGCAATTTGCTTTAACTAAGTTTAAGATTTTAATAGGATACGGCCCCTGTCCTTCAAGGCGTCAGTATTCCCGCTTTCGGCGAGGCCCTCTATGCCGTTGCATTGGTGTTTCGGCCTAGATCTAATGATATTGTATCGACTGTTTGATTCCATGCGTTTTCCCAACGTCGAAGAAGGTACTGCATCTCCCAGCATCCCCGTTTTCTCCCATCATCTGTAATATTTACTTTCAATTATTTTCCTTTAACAGTAGATCCTTGTTGCTTTCTTATCGTCTTATCAATCGTCACCAGTCGCAAAATCGGCGGCCCATTCCGTCTGCGGTGCGAGCCAAATTGTTCTACTTTCCAAATTAATTGAATTTAAAGCTAACCGTAAATGTAAGGGAGGCGGTAATGCGCCTGCTGGAAAACCGGCGGGTCGCCTCCTCGAGGATACCTGGTGACCGTGTCGGTCACCAGGCACGTCCGAATGGAGCACCAAGAGCCCCCACCGGATGGTACTCCTGTTCCCTGCAGCCTTCAAGCGCGTTTAAGAAATTGCCGTCATGATGTAGACGAAGGACCCCTTTTCCTCTTCTGAAACCTAAGGCAATTCTATTCATGCCCTCGGAGATCTCACCAACAGTGCGACAGTGAAGAGGATCGAGGGTGGAAGAAAAGGAAGCTAGGGTCTTGATCGGCGCCACCGTCTTCCTCCGGTCTTCTGGCGTTCGGCAAGTTTTCATTGCATCGGCTCATCACATGACCTTCGAACTTTGCTCGATTTTCCATTTTGAAAAGTTCCAAAACAGTTTTCCTCGATAAACTCCTGAGTGATAGTTTTGAGCGACTTGTACGACACCCTCCGTCAAAATTTAAATTTAAATTCTTTACATTTTTCTCCATGAATTCTACTCCTTTCACATTCCAATCCATTTCAAGACAAAATACCAAGTGTTTGTATTCTAAATATCGTCGAATTGTCTCACATTCCTCGCAGTTTACATTGTTGATTGTCATTTTAAATTGTTCATCCTTGACTCACCACGACTATGGCTTGTATCATTGAAACAAACATATTCTCCAAAATTTAAATTCAATTCACAGATTACAACCGATTTATTGCAAAATTTGTAGGTAAAGAATCATTATGGTGATTTTGGGAGCAGCAAGAAATCGTCACCGACAGCTGCTTTGACTGCCACCTCGAATTTCTTCGGAAATGTCCTGTTTGAGCCGTTACCCAGTCATCACCAGACAAAGATTTTCTACCAAGCTCTTTCTCTTCCTTTCGTTCTCTTCCATCATTTTCTCGTGAACCAATGTCAGATTCGTCTTCTTGAATTTTTGCACAAAGTCCTCTGCGTCGTCGAAGAGAATTATGTGCGGCCACGTGAAGTAATCGGCGAATTGCAGCCAATAGAACTCGGCTTCCCACGAGTCCCAGCTGCACGGCGCATTGCCTTTGAAGTCGTTGGGGCCGTAGACATAGACGGAGGTCGGTACGCCGGGTCTTTCTCGGATCGCTTGCTCCTGGCTCGATTGGCAGTGGTTGCCTCGATCGTGGACTAGTCTCTTTACGTTCCTCATGAAGCGGAGACTCGGCATGAACAAGGGGATGCCCAGAGCGTACATTTCGGTGATCTTGTAGGACATGACTGCATAAGGCAAGTACACGATTGCGGGGTGCTTCACCAAATTTTCCATTTTGTAGAATGAGTTGTAAAGGTTTCTCTTGTTGTTCACGCGGATTCCATGTTTGCCAGCAGTGGCGACAAATTTCGACCAGAGTTCAGGGCCGAGTGTGTATTCAGCTATGGCAAGGACATCAGGCCTGTCAGGCTTGTATTTGTACTGCTGAGTGTAGAAACCACTATAACTGTACAAAGGAATCACATTCTTGATCCCAGTGTAATGTTTGAGGTACTCCGAGTCGTAAACGCTGCTGGCAGAGATAACATGGCGAGGATCTTCGCTGACCTCCATGATCCTCAGGTGCTTGTCGATCAGATCCCACTGCGCCCACTGTCGATCAGATCCCACAGATCTCACAAGTCGATCTAGCAACCCTGTCCCCCCTGCCATACACTGCCTCTCTCCCATCTCCTCGGGAATGGATCCTCCCGCCGCGGAGGTCGGAAGGGAAGTGACAGCTATTGCAGGACGCATGACCCCCCCATCCAGGCCAGGCGCTGCGCATGCGCCCTGAGCTCGAGATCGAGGAATGCTGGGTGCCTTTCGTGCCTCTTCAATTGTGAGCAAATTGCAAAATTTTAAATATGCTGTTCGCATCTCGATTTCTGCCCGAAATTTGCCTTAAACGAGGGTACCGTGTACCTCATTCACATGTTCTTGTTTATTATTTTTGCCATCGTCGGACAACCGTAGAATGAGACAGACATTCAGACAGACGGGCAGACAGACAGATGTACGGATCCATCATCAGTTTACATAAGTGTTTCTTCTCGCCATCAATTATTTAGCATAGAAGTCGTTGATGCGGTTATTGCGATATGGATGACAATCTTGTCGACCATACGCGACCTCAAGTATCGCAGCCTTAAGGTGACAGCGATTCACGGAACTACCTCCAAGTATTAAGTGAATTCCATCCAATCGTGGCAGGGACATTTTTGCTGTTTCAAACATCATCCTACCACCCCCGCCCCTCTTTCCCCCATCCCCGCCTCCTGCCCGGCCTCTTAGAGCTAAAATTACATCTGACTAGCTAAACCTGAATGGACACCACAGTTCTCTCAGAAATTGAGTGCTCCATGCCGGATGATGCAGCCAGGCGTATCTGTGCCTTCGCATGCATGAATCTGCGCCTTCTAACGAAGCGGGGGGCAGAAAGGCACGGAGGCAGGGGGCTGGTGAGAAGAAGGAAGAGAGTCGCCAACGTTTCTCAAATTCCTCTTAGTTTAAATCATTGATTCTCTTTAGTCAAAGTCCTTGACTCACCGCGACAATTGCTTGCATTCATTGAGACAAACAAATCCTCCAAAGTTTCAATAAAAATCACAAATTTAGACTGATTAATTGCAAAACCTGCAGGTAAATAAACATGACAACAATTTATTTTGGGAGTAGCAAGAAATCGTCAGAAACTGCTACTTTGACTGCTTCCTCAAATGTCTTCGGAAATGTCCTGTTCGAACCGAAATCCAGTCTTTCCATCACGCTACAGAGATTTTCTTCCAGGCTCTTTCTCTTCTTTTTGTTCTCTTCCATCATTTTCTCGTGC